TAGAGGCACCGAAAATGGCCGCCCCTATGGAGGAACATCGCTGAATGGTGAGTTTATCCTCCATAGGAACACATTAAACAAAGTTTAATGTGTTCCTATGGCTTTTTTTATTCCGTTCAGCGATGTTTTCGCATAGCGACGATTAATCCGGAACGGATTAACGTCGCTATGCGAGGCACCACTGTATTAGGAACAGCATACATACTGCGCCAATATTTAACAGATACTAACGTTAAACTTGTATCTGTTAAAACTTATATCTGTTATATAATACCAGTCAATTTTTTCTATAATGTTGATTGCCTGGTGTTTTTATTATTATTATGATCCTGCTTTTAAATAAGATGTGTGCTCCCTGTGTGCCTTGTTTTGAAAAGGAATCCTCCTAATTTTGCTGGCACAGTGGCAAATTCAGTAGCAGCTGGGAACGGTGGTGAGGACCACACAATCCAGGAGGAGTGTGAATGCTGATGAAGACTTTTAGTCTGGCAAATAGATTTTAAGGAGGACTCTCAGAAGAAACAGTCACGAATCTTTTGCTATGTGTTCAGGAACTTGAGCACTTAGCATCCTTCATCAGAGATCTGTACAATCAAATTACCCATCTATGACTTCTATTAGGCCTCTCAATTCATCAAGCTTTGGTTTCCAAGGATTGCCTTTAAAATGGTTTCCTTTAATCATGCTGGGATTCATTCAAAAGAAGGGAAAGAACCATTGCTGATGGAAAGAAATTCTAACCTGATCTCTTTTGCTGCTAATGCACAATTATTAAGAGTGACTGGTTGTGCCAAAAGCCAAATGTCTTCTAAAATGGATTAGCTCTGAAACTCAGCTGATGGCATATCTCGAAAGGCAAGCATTTTTGCCTTCTGAATCTCTGAGAAGGAAAACCCTGATCTTCAAGGCCTAACCAGATAATATATCGGGAAATGTGTGACCCTAGTCGATTATTTGCAAGAGAAAGGAGAATATTTGGGGAGTGCACCAAGGGAGAATCAGGCCATGGAAGCACTTAACCTTTCTATATCTGGAGAATTTGGGAGATACACCTTTTTAGATAACAACTTGCAAAATTCTGATAAGGATACAAGGCAGGGGCGGGAACTCAAGTTGCGGGATCCACTGTCCAATCAGACAGTGGCTCAACTCAGACTTCACTTGGATTGTTGTTGCTGTTTTCAATGACTCACACGCGGGACTCAGAACCCATCCACCCTCCCTTTTTTCTGGGGGGGGGACACTTGTTTTTCATAAGGATTCGGGCTTGGGACTTGGGACTTTGTACCAAAGACTCAGACTCAGACCTGTGACTTGGACCCAAAGACTTGCCAACATCCCTGATGCAAGGTCTCCAACCGCTGACTAAAGTCTCAAGTAACTGCTATGCCTCTGTAGTCAGGGACCCAAGTCTCAGGGTCAGGAATGCTAATGTAGGAGAAAGTTAAAGTTCACCCCTTTCTCATCAACGGGTACTTAGCCCCTCAGTAATAAACTCTGAGACGTTTATAGGACAAAAAATAAAAATATTTTTTTAGTTACAGTTGCTTGAAATTAAAGACTAGTATATACTGTTTTCTTTACTGTGCACACACAACTAGCCACCAACCAAACAGATCAACAGCAAAACAAACAACTAACCAACTAACAAAGAAAGGATTCGAACACTCAGAAGAGAGCCAAGGCTCTCTTTGATTTCAAAAGCTGGAATGAATGATTGGTTAGCACTGGATAGATAGACAATGATACCAGGACATCTAATAATATCATAAACAGTTTCAGACACAGCAGAATGATCGTATAAGACCATGGTGAAGTGGAGTTAATAGGGGACCTCTGACTTACAAAAACTTGTTTTACAACCTCCCACGTTTACAACCCTTGCAATATTAGCTTGACTTCATTCCTGCCTGAATGAAGCTGTTAACTAATTAAGTAAACCTACAAGCCTACAGTATCATCCCAGAGAGGAAGTTATTTAGGTACAAGCTATACTATCTTTATATCGCCCAATCTCTTATTCCCACCAACGTCCTACATGAAAATCCTAGGTTCGAAAATCAAGTTTCTGGGCTGACCTGTCTGTCAGACCTATAACTGCTCATTGCTGGTGAATTCCTGAACAGGCAGAACTGCTTCTTCACCTTCACGTGTGCATGGAAAGAGAGTGATGGTGCAGTGATGACCAAAAAAAGGATGCTGACTATCGCCATCTAAAAGAGGAAGTATATGCAGGAAGAAGTAGATAAGATAAACAAATGCAAACAGGAGCTATCATACTGCAAAAGATTGTGAAAATTCATAATCTTTGCTAAAATGGACTGTAGCGCTTTGTAACAACCCACTGCATTTAAATCAAGAGGATAAAGCAAAGGAGTTCTATCTCCGCAGGGTCTTTTAACAGAAAAACCAGTCTGTGTAGCCTTGTACAAGCTACTGTACATGGTGCCAGATCATTCTCAAAAGAAAGAAATGGTAATCCACTTCTTCTGAGCAGGGATGGGAACTTGAGTTACAGGACTTGCTGTCAAGTCAGACTTTAGTTGTACCGATGACTCAAATCAGACTCGAGGTCTGTGGTTTTTTTCCAACTACACGAACATGACTCATGATCTCAGA